GGTCTATGTGGATTTTTGTCATCAGCACACCCTCAGAATATATTTCTTGTTATATACTGTGTGAAGGCACCTGGAAATTCTGCCAGATGGATCCAAGGCTTGTGTGCTGTGAGTGTTACTGTTTCCCTTGTTGGTGGGTTGGGAACCTTACAGTTGTAAAGGAAGGTACAGTCTGAGCAGTTTTCATTCCATTGGACAGTATACAAATAAGGTTGTAAAGAATGGATGAAATATAAAAGCAGCGTGGATGTACTAGCACAAACTATAACTGCCAACGCAGGAGTTGGCGGAGAATAAGCTGCAAAAGGGCATATAGCAGGAATTTGGTATGATGGTTGCTATAAAGCCTTGACAGAATCTAGCCCACCGTGTTCCTCCTTTCTCTGTTTTCACTGGTGGTCTGCCAGGCTGCTGCTGGGTGGTCCTGGGGGTTTCATTACTGGAGCTTGAACTGGGTCAAGGCACTGTTTATGCATTGGGATTCATAAACTCTTGTGCTGGTTGCAGATTGTCTATTGCTTCCAGTGATACATGAGTGCTGGAACCTGTGTTTTAACTGCCTGTTGCTCAGGTCCAATATTGACTCTGCAGATTCATCATGTAGATTAAGTGAAAGTTTTTTCTGGAACTTCACTGAAGAGTTTAATGACTACTTGGCTTATAACATGCTGCTTTAGAAGCTATAGGTTAACTTTTAGGCAGGGGTTTATCTCCCTCTCTTGCATGAGTGAGATAATTTTTGAACAACTTTCCTTTAGACTTGAGTGATATACCTGCAAAATACCTTGAAAGGCAAAGCGTGATCACACTGGGTCCCAAGCGCATGCAGTTGGTGGTGGGGGCAATTACTAGCCTTGAAATATTTAAACAAGTGAGTCCAATCTTAGTAGCAGTGGCAAGACAAGAGATATTGGATTCTAAAAGCAAAAGTATCTCACTTCTTATTTGGAGTCTTTATAAATATTGATTGAGGTCCAGGGCTTTGGCATTAACAAAGTAATATAGATCGCATCATTTGCACTACCTTTTTCAGATAGGGAATAAATGCTGTGCCAAGTAAGTGAATATGTGAAAATACCATTTTATGTCATCTGTTTGTTTTCTTTTTATTTAGCCAAGAAGTGTTACAGTATATTTTCTTGAGGGGTCCACACTGAAAAAAAAACCAAACCCTTATTCATGTGTGGTTGTATGTAGGGGTTGTGTATATGCATCTGTAATCCTGAAAACTTTCACGTTTGTTAGCCTAGGCAATTAAATGCAAAATACAGTGCTTGGTGGGCTGCATGCGAGATTACAGAAGTCACAAGTTTTGGATCCATTATCATGTAGATGTACATCAGTGTTATGTTCTCTACAGTAGTATTTTTGCTATTATAAGATGATCTATGGAATAATAATCAGTCTGTACAGGAGCTGAGTGACAATGTGGAACAGCCACAGTTTTCAGTGAGCACAAGTCTGAGTAAACCCCGGACTCAAAATATCAGGTTCATTTTTCCTGTGGGTATTCTAACAAAAAGCTAACAGAGATGTGTTCATCAGAATGTCACATGTTTGGCTGGAATCTCTGCTATGAGTTCTGGAATGAAATGGAAAGGAGGTGGATGGTTGGATATGCTCATCCCTTTCTTGCTGACTGGATCCTGGGGTTGATGATAGGTAAAGCAAGAGTCTGCCTGAACTTCTGTCTGCCATGGCTTTTATCTTCCTGCCTTTGAGCTGCCAAGACTCGTGCTCTATCGAGGTTTCTTTTAGTTCCAGATGAAGCATCTTGGATCTTCTGCTGCACAGCAAAGTACTTGCTGTTCTAAAAATCCACATGCATGTGCTTCTCTTAGCCCCGAGGGGTAGTTCTCCTGTGCAGTGAGTAACTACAGCGGGATTCACTTAGCAGCATGTGTTAATGGGACTGACCTATTGACAGAATAAATTATCCATTTGAACCTAAAATGTGGAAAATGCACTGATGCTTTTTAAATGTGGTGTATTTAAAGGATAATTGTTAACTATATTCAGTGTCGTCGTTTTCATAAGCTGTCACGGCATCCTGATAATTTGACACCTCTACAACTTATTTATAAATGTTTTGTGCATTTAACTGTTGTTTTCTGCATCTGCCTAGAAGGTCCCCATTAGCAAAATGCAGTTTCCTGTTTTTGTCTTTATGACATCTAGAAAATGTAATTGCATAAAGTGGAAAGAAGAAGCCATTTGTACAGCCTGATCATCGTAGGTCATGAAACAAGCACAGCCTAATAAAGCGTTGGCATGAAAGGTGACTTTTACTTTTCTCCCCTTGCTCCTCCTATACTCATTTGTAGAACAGCAAATTATAAACAAGAACATTGTTTAATCCTTGCCTCTAGCAGTCTTCTTTGTATGTGTTCTGTGCAGCTTTGGTTGAAAGAATATGAATCCCAAGTCCCATTTTGACGGAGACTAGAATTTTCACATGATCATGCGATGCCTCTGATGCTCACCCAGCATCAAGCCCTTGTGTCTTGTGGGATTTAGATTTTTCTGTCTTTCTGGAAATGTAGGAGAAGTATTAAAATGCAGCTCTCAAAGTCCAGGGACTAAGCAGAGTGTATTGATCCCTTCCCATTCACGTACACGTTTGCTGTGACAACGCTGACCTAGAAGCACTGAGAGTTAGTTTATTAGTTTTGACATTGGCATTCGTTAGCTGTAATTCAATTAGAAGCACGCTGATGGATGTGTTTGTATGCTGGGGCTGGCAGCTGCTTTAGGTTCAGAAACTTAGAATTCTAGCCGGGAAATTGTTTTGTGCAATCTTGGGTAAGGTTTGTATTGCTAGGCTAAAAGTGACATCTTTCTTGATTTGGTTTTTAATAGATTTCTCTCTGTTTCCAATTATGTTTCTAATTAGAATAATGTCTTATTTCCCATGACAGTTTAAAAATAATGCGAAGTCTGTAAAAGAGAAGCTATCAGGATGATTGAATAATGTTTTCTTTTTCGTTTGTTAGACTGAAACCTTTTTCCATCTTAATTGGCTATATAGACCTATTAGGCTACAGGAATAATTTCAGTATTTACAGAAGGTTATGGTGCAGTAGTTGCTAAGCTTTTTTCTGTCAATGTGTCTTGGGGCTGTTTCCATTCTCAGCCCAGCACATGCACCAGCCCTTAACCAGCCAGCTGTGGATATTCCCTTTCTAGCAGGAAGACAGAACACCTGTCTGTCTTTCTGTATAAATCCTAGCTTTTCAGGTGTGAGATCTGCTGCTCTCTGTTCTACCCTCTGCTTTTCCATCCAGGCAAAGCTCCTTCTCTTCACATCTGGGGTAGGGTCTTTTGCAGCAGCATTGTTTCTCCAGGCCCAAAGATGTTTTCCTGCCACTTAGAACTGAGGTTCACAGCTCAAGGGATGTATATGTGAATAACCGACTCTGGGAGCCTGAGAATCCTAGTTGAGAACATAGTTGTAGATTAAGACAATCAAAAGCCATCTACAGTGGAAAGAATGTAGAAGAGGTCTGGAACTGGAATTCAGTAGTTGCTGGAACTTGCTTTTTGATGGAAGGACAGATCTAAATGTGCTGTGGTTGTGGAAGGGGTTCAGGCAGTCTGGGATGGAGGCTAAATCCAAAGCTGTCTCCATGGCTGCCAGCTCAGAAAGCTCTGGGGTCTTAGATGCTGACTGCAGTGAACTTACCTCTCTATGCATAATTTAGCATGGCTGAGTGCAGCTACCGCAAGAGCCTGCCCATGTTTTTCTGGAGCATGACTTAAGTCAAGCCTCTGCCTGAGGTATGCTGCTGCGTGTGTAATTACCTTTGGAGGTATAGGAGAAAGGTTGGGAGCTCAGGGATATGAGAAGGGATGGCATTCCCTTTCTGCTAAGTATCCCTGACAGTGCTGCAGTGATAGAGGAGGTTAGAACAGTGCTAAAGCTGTGATGCTTGCCAGAAAAATCTGTGATTGCAGATAAATACATATTTGCAAGGTCAGAGTGGTGATGTGCTTTGTAGCATCAGACATGAGGCTGAAAGTACGTGGCAAGTCATATGTTCTGACTTTCAGCTGCTGAATGGGTTGACTGTCACAGAAGGTTCAAGACTACAGCTACGGCTGTTACTTTTTGTAGCAGCTCATTTTGTAATAATGGTACTTCCTTTTTTTTTTAATAGGATAGCCAGTAAGCATGAGACACCAATTGCTTATAGTAAAATCTGTTTGTGTTTCTAGAAAACCCATTGCTGTCAAATGGATCAGGAAATTCATCTGGTTTGGGAAAAAAAAAATATCCCTGCTAAGCTTCTCCCCTGTGTTCCTCCATCCTCCTCCCAAAACTGAACCACATGTGGTGCTTTTGAGGCTGGGGTTCTTCTCTGTCTTGATTTGCAGAGCAGCTGGCACAGGTGAGGGATGCCAAGGTGCAGAGGTAGGGATGAGCAGGGGTGGCAGGAGTGCTTTAAGGGAGGCTTTGCAGCCAAATGTTTCCTAGTGTTGGATGCAACCGCAGAGTGCAAAAGCAAAATTTGAAGTGCTTTGGTAGGCAGCACATTAAACAGGTAAGACTTTTTCAAACAGTTTCAGGAGCTTTTTGTCTCAAGATGTCCTTGATGTTTGACCGGCATCACAAAGGACTGGGTATCCATTTGATATCACAAAGTTCATGCAATGAGATTAAAAAATACATACTTTTCTAGATGTAAACTGTATTGGTCTGGATCATGACTTGGGTTTGAGCAGAGAAGAATTAAGAAAATTTATCCATAAGGAGCTTATTCTGTATCTGCCTGTGTCTGGACTTCTGCATCTTTCTTTGAAATGGGATATAGGACTAGATGTGACCTTTGATCTGATTTCTTATCTGGTATAGTTATTAAAGCCCCTACTTTTAGCTTGTGAGAGACTACCAGTATTTCAGTGCAGTGAAAAAGTCTTTCATGGTTGAGGCAGGTCAGATATGCCTTGAAGAAAAGTTCAAGTTTCCTTAGCCTTTTTTGTCTATTCTTATCTTCAGCGTATACAGCATGGCCCAAACAGAGAAGAAAGGTGGGCTGCTCCGAAAATCTTCAGCCTCCAAGAAGCCATTGAAGGAGAAAGTTGTGCTGATGTATGACGAGATTTTCATGGTAAGGACTTGAGCATCTCTTCCTTGTAAAGTGTTGTGTTAAATTTTCTTGGTTTAGTTTGTGCTGAGGGCTCTGGATGGTGGATTCTTCGCCCAAGGTAAGGACTGCACAGTGTAGGCACACGCTTCAGGCTGTCCTACTGTCATGCAGAGCTCTGTGCTCTGCTCTCTTCCTTAATGTCATCTTGTCCTGTTGTGTACCAGGACCACTTGTGATCTACAGGAAGTCATGGCTTTTCAAGTATTTCTCAAAAAGTATTCCAGAAAATGAACAGAGGCATCCCAGTTGAGAGCTGCTTCTGTTTGTCCTTCTGTTTCTGGGCATCTGTGTAGACAGAATTCTATACTGTGAGACCACTTGGTCATCCAGTGGGATGATGCTGACTGTGAGCTATTTTCTTTAAATTCTGCCTGAATGATTTCTTCTTGTTTGCTCTCATGGCTGTTCCTTTTCCTTTCAGACAGAGGACCCCAGTAAATGCAACCCTAGGTTTTGGGAGGAGCTGTTTCTCATGAAGGTAACAGGAACTGAACATCCCCTGATTTGCTGCGGCTGTTCTGCCTACGAAGTGGCAGACTGTCAGTGCAAGGACTTGCGTTTCTAAGGTGTCAGTGGTTGTGTAACATGCATGAACTGCTTCTTAACCTGACAGGTCAACTTGGAATATCTAGAAGGCAAGCTGGAGGCTCTGGATGGGGAAGAGTTAATGAAGATAAAAGATAACATCAACTGCTTGTTTCAGCACTGCATCCAGGCACTGGGTGAGGAACACCCAATCAGAGTGGTCAATGCATTACAGGTACCACGCTGAGAGATAGGGAATGTTCTCTTTTGCTTCTGATGAGGCAATATATTTGCTGCTGGTATGAAACATCTTGTTATCATTTCTTTGCTTCTGAGGAGAAGTGATGTCTACAGAACAGTTGCTACTTATTGTCTGTGGAGGTTACAAACATTCGTAGTCTCTTTAGTCTTTGAAGAACAATAGCTTGTTTCAGAATTTAAGAGGATCTGGTGATGCAGGATGAAGTGGATGGCAATGGGGGGACAAGAGGGGCTTGTTCACACTGCAGGCTGTCAGCTTGGGGGCTCAATCCTGTGTAGCTTTGTATTCTGCTTTCTCCTGTTGTCCCTCACTTCAGCCTCCTTTTTGAATTCCCATGTGGGTCAAAAATGAAATAAAGCTCTGGAGAAGTTAGCGTGGAATTTATACAGGGGATTGTCCCTGCTGGACACTTCCTGGAAGCTTGAAGAATTGTCACCCAGAATTAATAGCCATTTTCCTGTAGGTTGCTCCTTACTAAAGCTATACTGTCCCATGTCTTGTGCAGGAGACTCCCCTCCTCAGTCTTTATGTTTGATGTTATTAGTTTACAGGCTGATTCTTACAGTTTGGTGAATGCATTTGTCTCAGCTTCTCTCAGCTGTAGGAATACAGGATATGAATTTCAGGTTTGGAGAAGTCGCCTGTAGGAGACATTGGACAGGCAGTAAGCTGGGAAAAGTTGATTTAAAACAGAATATGTACACCTCTGACATACAATCTTGCATTGTTTTATTATTTTTTAGAATTAGTTTGAAAGGATGCTATTAAATATTGTAGTTATAGCTACATAGACAGTCTAGTCCAGCCCTGAATTCCCAAACTTGTATTCAGGCTCTTGGCAAAAGTTAGGCCAGGGCTCAAGTCTAGAATCCTGCTGTGTGAGTGTAAATAGGAACCAGGTAACACATCCTGGGCTTGAGTTTGGAGAGTGTTCCCTTAATCAGGCTGTGTTCATGTGGAAAGTGTTCCTGAAGCCAAAACTTATTTAAGCAATCTTTTCTTGAGAATGACCATGGTGACCAAAGGTTTGTTTAGCCCAATATCCTGTCTCTGACAGTAACGAAAAACAGGATGTCTGCCTTACCCTTTTGCTTATGTATGGTTCTAGAGGTCTGCTGATTCCTTGAGGTCTCTTTGTCTCCACCTTTACATCTTCTGAAACTACTTCTCACAGGTGAACTTAAGCTGGAGTCTTAAACTGCAGTGGTTATATTCCTGCTCATTCTCCTCTTCACAGACTTGAAATGTGTCTGATGACAAAAGTCACCGCAGACATTTTCCTCTCTTCAGGCAAATGAGACATTTGCCATCCATAAGTTTTGCAGAGTGTCAGCTGGAAGCATGGTGTGCTGATACCTATATGTTGCCAGTGATCTCCGAGAACTCTGTATGAATCAGTAATCCAGTGCCTGCAACGAGAAACGTGAAGGAGGTTACCTTTAGTGGGAAGGTTCTTAGAGCCCCTGAGGTTGTTAGGAAAACTTAAGCTGCCTAATAGCCTCGGAGATATTTTTCCTCTTTTTTTTTTTTTTATTTTTTTTTGATAAAGAGACAGTTTATTTGTCAGACTTAGTATAGCAGTGTGGTAACCAAATGGAAATTTGTGCTCTCTATAGCAAAAGCATCTGCTGTATGGACAGGCATAATGTGATAAACTATGTTGTATGGATGTTGTATGTTTTGGCATACATGAAATAAGAAATTAATCTGGAAAGCTGTAAGGCATGTCTGTCCATATATTGGACACTGCTTCTGCCTTGCAGTTCCCTGATCAATATTTTTGGCCTTAAAGCCGCACTTAGCTATTTTCCAAAGATCGTGGTCCTGTATGGTATAAACTGGGTCTGGACAGAAGAAGCAGTAAGACTACCTTTCCTCAGAGTGCTATGAAATGAAGGGGTGAGCAAACAGGAAAAATGTGGACAAATATATTCTTCTCTAATTTTTTTTGAGTTTTCAGCATCCAAGATCCTTCTCAGAAATAGGTGGAGGAGAGGTCAGCCAAAATGTATGGCTTCCAGGCTCGTGGTATTCATTTAAATATCCGTGCTTTGCCAGTACTAGGAGAGGGTCTTAGGGTGGGTTTTGCTATTGAGCTGTAGGTGTTGCTGTACATCTTACCCCCTGATTTTTCCCTTTGCAGACTTTGTGTGCATTGATTCGGGGTGTCCATCAGAAGAACAAATCCACTTCTGGGTTTGACATCATCAACATGCTTGTGGGTTTTGATAAGGCAGAGCTATGTATGAAGGTGAGGCCCTGGCAATGTAGAGAAACAGTTTGTACAGCAGCCATGTTGCAGGGGCAGTGATTTGTAGACAGGTGTGTCTACCAAGGTGCAGCTTTTGGGGGAAATATTCCAGCCACTTATTTAAAACAGCTATCCTAAAGTTCTTTACCTGCTAGTGGCACAAAGACACTTGGGGTCCCTGTGTTCGTTAGTAATATAACAGAGCACTTTTCTTCTTTTTCTTTAGTTCCATGCTGTGCAGTCACCATGGTAAAGAAATTTTAAAGCCAGAAAAGGCTGTCACAGGCCATTAGTATCTAGTATTGAACCTCATACCTTGTGCTAAATTTTTAGCTGATAGTCATACCCTGTGTTCTCATATTTACATCAGCACATGTACCATTTTAAATTTAGTTGGTGCTCTTCACTGTAAAGATGTTGAGTTTTGGGAAATGACAAAGTAATCGGTGATAAAGCTGAATTCCTGTTCTGTCTTTCATCTCTCTACAAAAAGTAGTAATTTTTCATCTGTCCACAAATAGTAGTACATTTGGGGAAAATACTAAGTAGTAACTTGCCTATCAGAACTACATTTTTTCCTTTAAGAATAATTGTATTACCTGTAACTTAATATTTGGAAAACAATTATTTATGAATATCTGTCAAACAGGTATATAGTATCTATTTTTAATCATAACTAATATATGTACTATTAAATTGGAGGTGTGCTGCTTACAAAAAATCTCATGGTGCCTATAAGTAAAATGGAATATTGAAAAAAGAAAGCACTGATATTACTGTCTTGCAAACAGAAAGGAAGATCATATTTGTAGAGCTCAGAATTACTTTGTGAATAAAATCTATTCTTATATGTATACAAAAATCTCTCATGCGTCTAGAGAAAACTCTTGGAAAATGATCATGATGTTATGCCTGTAGTCATTAAAAGGTAGTTAACACAAAACAATGTCGAGAACTAATAATGTGAATCTAGCCTGTGTAATAGTAATGGCGCAATTATTGATTCTGGAATAACATGGCTTTACATTGGTGCCCATGTATTTGAATTTCCCAAAAAGCTTTTTATAACAAACATTTCAAATAATTTTAAATATTACTTTTAAATAACGTGATTGTTCTTCTTTAGAATCTGATGGGGAGCTTGGACTCGCTCCTCCGTGCAGAAGGTTCTGAAAGCCTCAAAAGCTTGTGTCTGAAGCTACTTCTCTGCTTGGTGACGGTAAATAAATACCAGCTGTGTAATAATTTAAAGGCTTATATCAGCCACATCTTGAGGGATGGAACTGTCTCAAAACTTGAGCAGAATGCTGCAGTGTGAAGCTTAAGAAGGGGAAGAAATTATGAATGAGAACTAGGGCCAGTCCAGAATATACATCACTGCTGTAACCAGAATGCCAGTACAGACTAGCAGACTGTTTTCACCTCATAAGATAGGCACCAACTGGGGCAGAAGGGGAGAGACACAGGAGGAAGTGTCAATTGGATTCACAGGGCGGGGTTTAGGGAAAAAGATATTTAAGAAGTCTCAGATAAATGGAAAGGGAGCAGAGGAGAGGGGTTGAGGAGAAGTGTGGAGCAGGCAAGAGTGGTGAGGATGTGAGGAATGAGGAAGCTTGAACAAACGGCCACTCATCATCTCTTGGAGATGGTCAACTGTGAACTATTTTGGCTGTGATAAGAGATAATTTGAGTGTGGGGGAGGTCTTCACTGCCCTGTTTGTGATGGGAAGGTGCTCAGTAGAGCATATGCGCCCTGTTTTTTCATTCTCTGCCTCCTGTGTAGCAGCCTGCTCAGCTGCTGATGGCTCTTGTCTTGCAGCTGTGTAAAATATCAATCTGTAGAGGAAAGGGGGAGCTCTTCGTATGTGGGTCATGCTTCTTGCCAGAGAGAGGGGTGGGAGGCGGGACAGATTTCTTTTACTTCATGTCTAGCTCTACTGCTAGTCACACCTTGACTTGCTGACTGAGTGTGAGATTCTGGATAAATGTGTCTTATCTGGGAGTAGAACTCTGCCATTCCCAGTGTGTGCCAGAGGCAGCTACAGCATCATGGGAGGCTTTGGGTGAGATTTTAAAATTTGTGTTTGTACTCAGGTGACAGATAACATTAGCCAGAACACCATCCTGGAGTATGTGATGATTAACAGCATATTTGAAGCTATTTTACAGGTAAGGGTTCTTCCTTCTACTGCAGGGGCTCTTCTTCCATAGTGAGAGCTTTCAGTGATATATTTGCTTTTCAGCTTTTTCAGTGCAGCATGGCTGACTGGCACTGTGTGTTGCTTCCATTCATAGCTCTGTCACAGATTTTTTTTTTTTTTTTTAAATGCTGTCTCCTCCTTACTCTACTCTGCTAGTTTTAGTTGCTACTGAGTATTTAAAGTATTTTCACTCGAGACATTTGTGCATAGATAGAAGCTGAACAGATTTCTGGGCTAATTTCACAGCGAATTCCTGTATTGGACAAACTTTTTTCAAAAGGCAGTCTGAATATATTGAGTTTTTTTCTGCTCTTTGATAAATTATACTTTTTAGAAGTGGAAATAGGCTTGGGAAACCCAGAAGACTTGCATAGATAATGTTGGTGATGCACTGAGATACTGTCCAGTGCTGTTGAGAAATATATTTTCCCTTTGTGCCCAGAAAGCCTATGTACATCCTCTCTGTGATAAATAAGCTTCTCTGTGTGCAGAACTTCTTGGAAGCACCGACACTCCCTCAACCTTAAATACCCTCTTTCAGTTAGGACATAATTTGCTCTTACACATACATTTCACGGCTATGTACTGTCTGAGAGTCACTGCAAGCTTCCTGAAGAAGGCCTGAAAAGAACAGTGTGATTATTTATTCCAGATCCTGTCCAGCCCACTTAGTCGCAGGGAACATGGCTATGATGCTGTTGTCCTTCTTGCCTTGCTGGTCAACTACAGAAAGTATGAGGTAGGTATTCTTCTGGATAACAGAAACATCACTTCTCTCTACTTTATTAATTTACACTGTGTCTGGATTGTTAAGGCAGCCTACAGTACAGTTTTTAGCAGTACACACTATAACATTTATCAGGGTATCAGCACAGAGCTACAGAAGTTTTGCAAGGCAGTCATATTATGCTAACCGTATCTGTTTCTGACATATGTGTATAATCAAATGTGTATGATATTCATACAGCTCGTTTTGTGCAAGCATGAAAGAAACTACCTAGGGGATTTGCATTTCCTCCATGAAAGTATTCTGAGGAAAGTCCTTTTGGAAGAGTTACTGTTGTGCCAAACTTGCATGTTTGCCTCTGTGTGTGACTGTGTGGTTATACATATATACATGAGCTGTCAGTCATCTTGGGCTTCAGACTGAATTTGTGATTCAGAACCTGACTAGCAGACTGAAAGAGCACAGATCCCCAGAAGAGATGGTGAAGCTGTGACCAAAGAATGAACTGAAACATCACAGCTAGTATTTCCGAGAGAAGTCTTATCTATCTCTTTGACTGATTCCTCTCTGAGAAACTTTATTTATCTTCCTTTTTTCTAAACTGGTTGTGCTACTTTGTGGTGTATTCCCGTTTTTCCTGTTATTCATTAACCTTGAAAAAGAAACATTTCAAATGTCAATAAAACACCTAATGTTGGCTTCTCTTTGCATGAGGCATGACGCTTTAATGATCAATCTTACTTTTTTCCATCATTAGGAATATTTTAAAATATATTTAGATTGGCAAAAAATGGGAAAGTGCTGGAATACCCCCTCCTCAACGGAATTACTAGGAGGCGGCAGACTCCAAAACCTACCTGGTTTTATAATAGATCTTGTTTTGAATTATGAATAGACCTAGAGAATAGGCAAAGACAGGAGCTACACTTAGTGTCAAGGTAATCCCTGTTAATTTTTCATTCCTGTGAATGTTGTCAGACTCATGAATTACAGATTCTGTTCAGCAGTCTGTGCTGTGGTAGCATGGAACAGGAGCATGGAGTTTGGTTTCAGTATATGGCCACGAGGGAAAACTGTTGGGAATGATATGAGTAGGGTTACTGATGAGGGTAGACTGGAAAGACCAGAGGTCTCATTGCAACATTCAGGTCAAAGGCTGGAGAGCCGTGTAGTCCCATCCCTGAGCTATGGATCCCTGTGTACTATAGTTTAAGTCCTTAGTAAGGTAGAGTGCTATGAGTACATAAGATTTGTCCTCTGCTCTTTGCAGTAGCTTTCTGTAGAGTACTGAGTTGGGGTTGAGTGCTTTGGAAAACATTGTCCTAGATGTCTTCAAACTGGACACCCAAAGCAAATTATGCTGATGTTTAAAAATACTATCCAGCCTGAGGCAGACGTGCAGCAAGGGGAATTTCAGCTTGAGTAGTTCATCTGGCAAGGTTGAAAGCAACTTGAAGAAAGGTTTTGTATGATGGCTGCCTGACACTGCCCTTTGTAAGCAGCACTACAAGCAAAGCCTGTAGTAATGCAGTCATAATCTTTGTCCTTAAGTAGAGTAGCTGCTTTCATTTGTTGTTCTGTGGCCCTTAGAGTCAGTTTGGTGGTTGCCTGTTTGTCAGTGTATTGTAGCACAGTTTCATGCTTCAAATCCTTGGAAGTTCTCTTTCTAGTTAACTGTGCTGCAGTTCATAGGTTCTCTTTTGTTCTGAACTTCATTGGTTGCTAAATTGCATTTCTAGCTGCTTAAGAAAATCTAATTAGGCTGAAAATTCATTAGTTGACTAGGATTTTGTGTCTGTCTTTAATGTGAATACCACTGTGTTTTGCATTAGGATGTTCTTTCATATTTTTGGGATGTGAATTTTGGAGTCTCCTCTCAAATTCCCTGGGGAATATCTGTCCACGTTTTCATTACCAGTGTAGCTGAGATCTTGGCTTGCTCATTAACTTCTGTTCCTGGAGTAAAAATCATAGAATCATAGAATGGTTTGGGTTGGAAGTGACCTTAAAGATCATCTAGTTCCAACCCCCCTGCCCCATGGTCAGGGACACCTTCCACTAGACCAGGTTGCTCAAAGCCCCATCCAGCCTGGCCTTGAACGCTTCTAGGGATGGGGCATCCACAACTTCTCTGGGCAACTTGTTCCAGTGCCTCACCACCCTCGTAGTGAAGATGAAAATGATTTATATGTCTTTACATGGAACCTTTAAAGGGATGTCCCTGATCTGAAACCTGATAATTTTCAAAAGTTGTTCAAAGTGTATACTTATTCAAGTCTTCAGCTATATTTTGTTTTTTTTAATCCTGACTTCAGAGAAAATATTTTTACTTTGATACTATGTGAGAGTAACATAAAAGGGTAACTAAATAATTGACTGTATCAGGAAAATGGTGAAGCTAAGTGTACACAAAAGGCTGCCTAACAGAAAATACTGTGAGGAAGAGTATTTATTTGATCACTTTCACAGTATTTTAAGGGATGACCGCTAGAATAGCAAGTTAAAACATAACATTGGGTAGTGACTTTTAAATAGTTAGATTCCTTGATAACATCTAGGTGGAAATTTCTTTGCCTCATGTTCAATGGGCAAGAATTGCATATTATGTCTTTTGCTAGGTAGAGCTGAAACAAATTAGTCAAAACGTGGGTTTTTCCTTTTGTGTGCTTGTCTGGCAGCATATAGTGTATCCAACAGTCCTTCATGTCCAGTTACATGGACTTGCCTCTCCTTGATACAGTCTACTACAGGTGCTGAAGAGACACTTACCAACATTGAAGAGTCAGAATTTATTTTTTTTTTTTTAAAAAAAAGGTCTCACACAACTCAAATTATTTCAAATTAATCTCTTTAACAAAAAGTAATTATTCAAGCTCCAGTTCCCTGCAAGATGGCCTGTCTGCAGAGGAGGTGGCCTCATCGGGGCTGCAGCAAAGCTGCCGAATCATCCCTAATTGGGTGTTCAGGGAAAAGTCTTGCAAGGGATAATTGAGTGCACTATGGCCTTTGTCTGTGTTATAGATGTGAAGATAGGTTAAGCACCTAACTAGGGATTATACACAGTTGGCTTGGGTTTTTTCTGCTTTCTTTTCCTACCAAAAAAATTGTTTCCCATAGGTTTGTGTTGGAGGCAGAGGTACATTTCGGGGCATGGAGGAGATCTTGCTCCCTCTGACAGACCCGTGTGCTTCTTCATGTAATACTCACTTTGTATGGCATGTATCACCTAGAGATTGCTTTAAAAATTACCTGGTAATGACCTCCCTGTAGCTTCCACCTTCATTTCTATGAAACTTTTGGCATCTAATGGTGGGTAGTTCATGGAGGACATCTTGAGTATTCCCAGGTTCCAGAAGTTTGTGTCTGTATCTCATCACTGACAAGAAGGCCTTAATGCTAGAGTGTTTGTTATCTGATGGCAGTGATAGGAAAAGACTTGTGTTCTCTGAAGAGTTGAGAATCATATTTTTGAGTTCTTTCTGGAGGCAGAAGCTATTTCTAAGTTTGTGTAACTGCTTCATTGACACACTTTGAAGTTTTCAAAATGCTTTTCAACCACTTTTCAAGGCTGTTGCATGTTTCTGCATGTTGTGGAGTGGCAGGCATAATTTAGATTTTAAAACTTTTGCTCTGATATCCAGTGAGAGGGGAACTGAACTCTGAAACAGCAGGATTAGAATAGGGAAGCAGGCAGGGAGTATGGGGTGGGCTTAGGGGTGCTTGTACAACTTGCAGGTTGCTGATGTTCATGGTAGATGTGCAGGCTGATGATGCTCATAGACACCAACTGGAACTGTTGGCTGTCAAGGAGGGGCAGGAGCAAACTGCACACCCTGTGGGCAGCATAGGAAATATTCTTATTGCACTGGTACAGACTTGCACACTGAAAAACACTAGAAACTGCCTTGTCCAATATAGAGTAATACGGTGTGTAGATTACACTGGTTAGTCATCTGCCTGCTGCTTAAGGAGTTAGGGAAGTGTAGAGGAGGCATGGAATATGCTGGGAGAATGGAATACTTCAGACAGGAATTATTAAACAGACTTCTACAGATATGGAAATGACAATTGAAAAGATAGAGGGCAGAGATCTGTAACAAGCTAGGCCAGCTTCATGACCCTATCAGCTGTGCACTGATGACATCTTGCTGCCAAGAGGCAGGAGACACGGAGCATGCATCTTGGAAAGTCAAGGGCAATAGGAGCATGAAGAGTTGTTCATAGGCTGGAGATGACAACAAACCCACTCCCCCTCCCTTTCTGTGATGGGACGGAGTGTATGACTAGGTCTCAGGGCAGCCTGGTGGCGTTGGTCAGTGTAGTATCTCCCAGTTTGCTTATTCCCCACGTCTGGGAATTTGGATAACCCTGCAGCCTCTAATCCAGCATAGCCCTGCTGCCCATTGCCTGGAAAAGCCCCATCACTTTTATTGGTTGTGAATCACAGGCTGGCCTCTCTTCTGTGCGTGAGCTGTGGTGTGTAGGGTTTCTCCTTGTTGTATAATGAGAGCAAGAGAATGACTGAAATTAGAAAAAACTAAGATACATTTACAAGGATTGATTTTAATCTATATTTAATTATGAATTTGTGAAGCTTGCTTCTGCTTCACTGACAATGACTAAATTTAATTTCTGAAGGGCAACATGGTTGTACAGAGAGGACCATATATTGTTGCTCAACAGGAGCTTCTACTCCAGCCTCAAGTAAATGTCTTTGCATGCTTTGTGCACAGATGGGTTCTGTGTGAGTTTTCTGTCTTTTTCTGAGACAGCAGACAGGGCTGCTTGCTGCTGGAGGCAGGCTGACAGACTGGCTGAGCTTTGGTCTGTTCTGATCCGTTTCTTTTCTGAACCAAAAAGCCTGATCCTCCCAAAGCACCAAATAATTGAGAGAGTGGTGTTTTCTCATCAGCATTATTTTTAACCCGCTGTCAAGTCGTGGGCAAATCAGTCAGATAACTGTGTAACTTTTAGGTCTGCATCTGATGCATGCTTCGTGTTTTATTCTTCCCATCCACTTTGGACTTAATACACAGATAAAGCCTTTTCTTCTCTGTTCTGCTTCCAAATCAACTTTGCTAGTTTTGCACTGACACATATAAACCAGGAAAAACAAATGTACATTGCTAATCTAAAATGCTTGCTAAATTATTAGGACTTATCTTTATAGATGGAGCCTGTGTGCTTTGTTCAGGTAAGTTCAAGGAATTTATATTCTCCAGGGACTGATAGCTCTCAGTGGTGTAAACTGTTAAAGTGTTGAGCTCTAACCCAGCAGCAGATGAGTCTATAACATTGCCATGCCTTCCTGGGTCTTCCTTCCTTTAAGCAATCTTTGCAAGGTGTTGCAGAAGAGAGATATCAGAACGCTAATGTTCAGTCCCAGCTTCATGGCTTGTTCCTGCTGCATAACAGTGTGTGTGTCACAGATAACAGGCTTGCAGGACAGCTGCTCCGCTTTCCAGACTGACAGATGAGCTAGTGGAGGAGTGGAAACTCCCTCTCTTCTCAATAAAATCAGGAGACTGCCTGGCTGAGCCAGTAAAGAGAAGGTGTCCCAGGCATAGCGGCCTTAGCATACTCTGTGACTCCTCTTTCTTTGTGGGACAGGAGAGAGATTCTTCCCAGGTGGTTGCGTAAACTTGGAAAGATACCAGTGTTTTTTTCCTGAAGGCTGAACTTAAACCCAATTTTCTTTCTTTCTTCTCCCCCAACCCTGAGCAGTCAGTGAATCCCTACATTGTGAAGCTCTCCATCGTAGATGATGAGACCACACTCAATGTGAGTATTTGACTTGATTCCTCTGCGCTGCTGCGGATGTTCTTTCATGTGTAGTGTTAATGTAATGAATGCAGTCATGGTGTCTGGTAGAAAGGTCTATGAACAGTGCTACTGTAAAGAACACCAGTATAGTGGGTTTCTATCCTAACTGCACTCTTGCAATAGGTTAAGCAGCTCATTATTTGGACAGATTGATCACCAGTGAAATGGTGGGGGTGCTTAAAAAGCTAGGTAGCAAGGAGCATGCTAAAGTTGATCCATTATACGTTTATGAACTATCTGTACGCTATTTGCTGTCATGTGTCAGAGGCACAAGATAGCTTATGCCAAAGATGATCTTATTTCCAGTGTCATCCAATTTTACCAGTCCACAAGTCAATTCTTGTAGCTCAGTGGAAGCTTGTACTTGAGTCAAGAGTCCTGCAACATATTTTGGGTTGTAGCCACTGCCTAAATTTTGTATCCAGGCCTGGACAGAAAGTGGCAGCACACTATGAGCTATGTGAGGTCTCGACTTAGAAGCCGTGCTTTAGGCATGAAGTAAAAAGTAAGCTCCATACTAACTAAAGGGCAAGAATGATTATGCCGAGTTATTTAAATTAGTTTGGCAGAAAGGGTGATCAGTAGCTGTGCAATGGTGGAGGCTGTTTGCAAGAAGTGAAAAGGTTACTAGTGTTTATGGCCTTTGTTTTGAACTTTTGGATGTCCTTCCTGTGACATCAGCTTCCTTCTGAAGTTCTTGCCACTTTATTGAGGCTTCTTGAGTGGGTAAGCTCTGTCTGGAGATCCAAAGAGAGTAAATGTTCTCTGTTGAACTTAGATATTCAACTTTAAATTTTGGTGTCTTGATTTTTTGATTATATTTTTGTTGTATCATAGCATGTCTTAATAGTTCAAATAGCTTCAGGGGAAATTCTTCATAGCATGCTAGGTTATCTTGTGGGGGGCAGCACTGCTATATGAGTTCAGTGTGTGATTTCCTGCATTGAGATTTGTAATGTAAAGATTTTTTTAATGCTTTTTTCAGGGAATGGGACTTGTAATTGCTCAGGCTTTATCGGAATATAACAGGTAAAACCTAATTGTCTCTTGTTTTTCAATGCATGATAGTTGCTGTACATTTCCACAAACTTTTTTTTTGTGTTAAAGCACTTATCACCTAACAGCCCTGATGCACCTGGAGAGACAGAGAATAATAGTCTTATATTTTGAGGTACTTCAGCTCAGTTGTTGTTGTCATTGCAAGTGTAAATGCATCTGTACCAGCTGTGCTGATGTGCTTCAGGAGGGATCTTGCTGTAGGGGAAGATATCTGCTGGTTTTACTGTCATGGATTTTACCCCTGTATGACCCTTGTGTAAAATCTTAGTCCCAAGTGAAAAAATAAATGATTTGCTGAGTACTTCTCTGTTAGAAAATTGATTTAACTGAAACACAATCTGAAGCAAACAAATGTATCCAGGACTATCCACATGCCAGATCAGAGATGATTAGGGGGAGGTATGCTCTTGCAAATGGTGGAAAGCATTAACTGCTTCTGAAGAAAGAGCCAGAAAGCCAGCATTAGGGGTAGCATGTTCCCAGCCTCTGCTTCATAAGCAACAGCACAAAATGTATAAGTTTTCCTAAGAAGAAAGCGCTTCAGAAAAATTTGGAAACTTATAGCAATTTCACCTGAACAATCCAAGACTTTTTTTGTGCAGTAGGATTCTCATAGTATCCAGAAAAATGTTTTAATTCCTTTGAAGGTCTGCTATTATAGGTATGCAGATGACTTGCAAGATCAGCAGATCATGTTAAATGTATTTAACGGAGTAAATTATTAGAGTAAAGCAGAAAAAACCTTACCCATCCAACTTCATTCTAACAAAAGCTGTCTCAGACTATGGCCTGTTTTGCTTAGCTCTTTCCCCCTTCCCCAAAAATTTAGAGTTATTTTCTTTGCTTGTTGCGTTGTGTGCGATTGGATTCCTGTATGAAAGACGCAATAAATGGCCATGTGAGCTTTGCTAGTCCATTTGAATGCCAAATGAAGCAACTTAGCTTAACTCTGAGGCACCCAACCTATTTGTTGGCTTCGCTTACTCCAGTTCCAGTCCCTTCACTTACTCCAGGAACATGGGATCAGGCCATGAACCATAATGGTCCTCACGGTTTCTGCTGGCCATAGGGTGATCGACTCTGGTTTAGTCTGTAGTGGATGATGATTGAAATGAAACCGTTCTCTGGTCACTGACAGTGTGTGTTCGTGTGGTTCATTACTGTTTTTTCAGTGCAGGACAAAATTTCCTAAGTCACTTGGTCCCTTTCCTTCAGCATTAGCCCAGACTAGGTGTGAGGATACTCTATAACAACACAGGCATTGTTCAGTCTCATATCTTTCAGCAACCCCACTTCAACTCTACACAATTTACAAATATTTTAATACCCTTTGCATCTCTTTTTGTGAGTTCTTGAAAAGGATTTGTGAATGTTGAAGCTTTCTCCATCCTGTATCCTTATCAGATAAGACTGTCTCATAGGGGTTTAGATAAAATAACCCTAGTTCAATTTCTAACCCTGAAGCTTCATCCTTATTCCCTTTTTGTTCAGGCAATACAAAGATAAAGAAGAGGAGCACCAGAGTGGTTTCTTCTCAGCCCTAACTAATATGGTAAGCAAGGAAGCAGTGTTTTTCTATTCTTAAAATAGGTGCCTTCATGAAAGTTCAGCATGAGGGTGCTTCCAAAAACTATGAGTTTGGGATCTGGGTTCTGGAGGAGGAGATGCATTGATCCAGTCCAAACCAAATACAACTGAAATGGCTGTATTCTGAGGAGTGTGGTGTTGTCTGGCTGGGAAAGCTCTTTCAAAGGATGAGAGATCTATTCTGGCATTGATAATTGAAATAGTTTTCCTTCATCTTCATTTTAGATGACTTTATTTTAAAAAGCACAGTTACTTGTTGGACACTTAAACAGCTACTTATTTTTAAAAACAAGTTGCTGCTCTGCTGATGTAGCCTAAAACAGAGAAGCTGAATATTTTTGTGACAAAGTCTAGTCTGTCACTAGCCTTAGAGATTTGTTTCTTTAATGTCTTGTTTCTCAAGCCTGGGTGCACCCTAGCTATGAAGTAAGCTTGGATTCTGCAATGACCGGTGGCTGCATTTTCAGAGGGGTACCATCCAAAGGCAGTTGTGAATTTCTTCCTTGTAAAGAGTATCCACTGTTCCCCTTGTTCAGTTTGGCTTTGCTGTAGTCTGAGATTTAATTGTAGTCTGAGATCTAACTGACAGGAAAATTTCCTGTAAGTAAGGATAGTTCAGTGTTGACAACTGTCTGTCAGGAGTGACATGGGTAAAACTGCTACTGCTTTGGGGCAAGCAGATAGGAAATGATCTCTGTTGTCCTTTTAGAGAATCACAGACTAATCCAGGTTGGGATTCAAGATACAGTCCTTTTTTTCCTCTTTTGTGATTTAACAGGTAAAGCGTTGGTCAGTGACAGTAGTGCAAAATAAAATGTGTTTGTAGGTGGTCATCCTGTTTCCCATTTGTATTTTACTAGTATTAGAAAGAAAGTTGCATATGTGCCTTGGATGAGAACACCTGTCCCAGGCCACTTCTGATTTAGTTAAATCTATGTTTTCTCTCTTGTCTCGCTTTCACAAATTCCTCCTATGCAATACTCTTTCTTTCCATAGGTGGGCAGCATGTTCATAGCAGATGCTGATGAGAAGATCTCAGTCCAGTAAGTGCACAGATATTAGTTACACAGTGAATGGCAACTTGCCACACTGGTCAACATGATCCGCTCCGCCATGGAGCTGTTCTAATGTAGCAAAGCAAACCAGAGAGACAAGTTCTCTTGTGACTAAAATGGTACCACACCCCTACAAATGATGGTTTCTCACTTCAGTGAGAAGGGTGCAGCAGGAGGAGCTACAGCTGAATTGCTTGTAATGAAGTGTATAAAAAAAACCCTGTGGTTTTTATGAGGCATTTTTAACATATAATAGGCATGTTGGAGGTTGCAGATGGGAAGTGATGGTTCATGCACTCCTGTCCCCAAGAAAATCTTTTTCTAAATCAAGGGGGCAAGTGATAAATACGAGGCTTTGTGGTGTCTGTAGGAACCTCTGCCCTTAAAAGAAAGGATTTTAAAGGGAAAACACAGGGCAATGAGGGAGAC